ATATATATATGTATATATATATATATATATATATATATATATATATATATATATATATGTATCTCTTTTGCCGTGTGTTGTAATCTATATATCTATATACATATATTATATACCTACCTATACTGTAATCTGTTGCTAAATGTTGTAACCGATATGCTTAATACCTGAGTACACGCTTTTGTCGATCCCCCTTCGCTCGATACGCCGCACGTTAACGCGGGTAGCGGAAACGGATTAATGCCGAATTAATTAGTTATCTCTTTTTCTCGCGCACTTTAGTAACGCGAAAGGGAGGAGTTCTCGGACAAATTTGAGACGGTCACTTAGCCAGCCACTGGGAATTAATCAGCTCTCGCCGCTGATGCGCACCAAAACCGCAGGTAAGCAGCCCCGTCGTATTTGCACGATGTCTCTTAATTTAAGTTTTAGATTTCTGAGCTCTCTGATGTAGATCACGTTCCCCTCTGTCTCGTCTACCGAGCACGTGCGTGCACCGTTCTCTCATCGTTCGCATTTGTAAAACGTGAGAGATAGCACGTTTCTCGGTCTCCCTTCGTAAATCACTATTGTTGAGAAGATACTCGTTATTTCATTCAAGATCCGATATAAAATTTTTTATGCAAAAAACATGTACAAATATATTATAAATCTATATAAATATATATATAAATTTATAATATATAATTACAATACGAAAAATATATGTTCATATTAATTTTTTCTTTTGTAAAATTTCTGTTTGGTAGAAGAAAAGTAATAGTATATCAAAAAATAATTAAAAGAATAATTTTCGCATTGTTTCACCGGTATAAAAGAGGTGTTTAATTTTAAGACATTAAAGTATTTTATTCCTTGTTTCCATTTTTGAAATATTTAAAGATATCTTAATTATAAAACGGATGCGCCATGATGTTTAGATTTAAAACACTAAAACATTTAATTTTGAAACATTTATTATTATTAAACATTTGTATTGAATAAAACGTTTTAAATTTAGATGTTTTCTTCATATCACTTTTTATGGTGTTCTTTTACAAAAAATTAAGTTTAAAAAAATGAGATAATTCTAATTATACGTAATCTTTTAATTATACGTAATGATTATATATGAACAATTTTTTCTCATTTCTTCAAATTTAACTTTTTATAAAAGAAACAATGCGAAAATTATTCTTTTAATTATTTTTATGTCTTCTCGTTATTACTATTATTTTTTTTACCAAACAGAAATTTTACAAAAGAAAAAATTAATATGAGCATATATTTTTCGTATATAATTATATATGTT